GAGTCAACTTCCCGGCATCCTTGAGTAATACGGCAATGGCTGCCACCATGCGGAGGCATGATGGCCATCCTGTAGCCACCGGGTCCAATTTCTTGGACAAGTACGCTACAGGTCTCCTCCAAGGTCCCAGTCTTTGCACCAGTACCCCTTTGGCAAAACCTGAGTTCTCATCCACAAACAGCTCAAAGGGCTTGGTTAGATCTGGCAGACCCAGAGCCGGGGCCTCGAGTAAGGCCTTCTTGATCTGTTGGAACGCTTTCTGATGCTTCTCCTCCCATTGGAACATGGCCCCTGGTTTAGTGAGGGGGTACAATGGGGCTGCCAGTTCGGCAAAGCCAGGAATCCAAAGGCGGCAGTACCCAGCCGTACCCAGGAGCTCTCGAACTTGGCGGGGGTTCCGAGGAGGGGGGATGGAGATTATCGTCTCCTTCCTCGCTCTTGTTAACCATCTTTGCCCCCCGCTCAGGGTGTAGCCCAGGTAGGTAACCTTGTCTCGGCATACTTGAGCCTTTCTGGCTGAGGCTCTATAGCCCTTTTGTCCAAGTCTGGCCAATAAGGCTCGAGTGCCCTCCAGGCACTCGGTTCGACTCCTGGCCGCCAGGAGTAGATCATCCACGTACTGGAGCAGAGTCAGGGTTGGGTGTTCGACCCGGAATCCGGCCAGATCTGCATGTAGGGCCTCATCAAAGAGGGTTGGGCTATTTTTGAAGCCCTGAGGGAGCCGGGTCCAGGTTAACTGTCCCGAGAGCCCTTTTTCTGGGTCCCTCCATTCAAAAGCGAATAGCATTTGACTTTGAGGGTGCAGTCTCAAACAAAAGAAGGCATCCTTCAGGTCTAGCACAGTGTACCAGACGTGGGTCGGTGGGAGGGTGCTCAGAAGGTTATAGGGGTTGGGCACCGTGGGGTGTATGTCCTCCACCCGCTTATTGACCTCTCTCAAGTCCTGGACCGGCCTGTAGTCCCCTGTCCCCGGTTTCTTAACAGGCAAGAGAGGGGTATTCCAAGGGGACTGGCAGGGCTTTAGCACCCCTTGGTCCAGGAGCCTTCGAATATGGGGCTTGATCCCCTCATGAGCTTCCCGTGACATTGGGTATTGTCTAATTGAAACGGGAGTCGCGGAGGCCTTTAGTGAGATCACCAGCGGTGGTTGGTCGTGTGCCAGCCCCAAGCCCCCAGTCTCTGCCCAGGCCTGAGGAAACTCTCTCAGCCAGTTCTGTAGTTCCTCAGGTGATTTCTCCGGGGGTTCTGGTTCAAACAAACGGTATTCTTCTTCTAAACTGAGGGCAAGGATTTGTAGAGAGTCTCCTTTAGGACCCGTGACCCTCGGTCCCTTCTCATCAAAATAGATTTGTGCCTTCAATTTGGTTAATAGGTCCCGTCCTAACAGCGGATGGGGGCATTCAGGTATGTGCAGAAAGGAGTGAGTTACTTGCCCTGATGCCAATTGGACTTTTCTCTCGGCAGTCCAATAATACCTCTTGTTTCCAGTTGCCCCCTGCACCAGTGCAGAATGCCGGCTAAGAGGCACTCCGGCATGGGTTAGGACTGAATGTTCGGCACCGGTATCAACCAGGAAGGTCACGGGCTGCCCCCCGATCTTGAGGGTTATCCTAGGCTCAGGGGGGGGCTCCTGGCCTTGACCCCCCTAGTCTTCCAGACTAAGGAGGTCTACGGTCTTGGGCTTGGGCCGGCGGGGTCCTTGTGGCTTCTTGGGGCACTCTCGGGCCCAGTGTCCCTTCTCCTTGCAGTAAGCACATTGATCTTTATCAAGGGGTGGCCTCCTTCGCTCTCCCGACCTATCTCCCTCTCTCCGCTGTCCCTGAGACACAACGGCGGCCAAAACCTTTTTCATCTCCCTATGCTGTTTCTTGTCCCTTTCCTCTTGTTTCTGCCATCTCCTTTCCTCACGCTCCTCAGGAGTTTCTCTCTTATTGAACACTTTCTCTGCTTCCTTCAATAAGTCTGGCAACCCTAGCGCCTGTAAACCTTCCAGCCGCTGCAATTTGGTTCTGATATCTGAGCTAGACTGATAGATAAATGATAGGATGACACCTGGTGCTTGCCCTGGGTCTTCTGGATCATACGGAGTGTACATCCTATAAGCCTCCTTCAGCCTCTCTAGAAATGCAGCGGGTGTTTCTTCCTTTCCCTGTATCACATTTCTTACCTGAGCCAAATTGGTAGGCCTTCTGGCGGCCGCTCGGAGACCCGCTAAGAGCAACTGGCGATAGAGACGTAGATGCTCCCTACCTTCAGGTGTATTGAAGTCCCAGTCTGGGCGGGTCAAGGGAAAAGCCGCATCGATGACATTTGGGAGTTGGGTTGGCCTCCCATCATCGCCCGGAACCTGCTTCCGGGCCTCCAGGAAAACTCTCTGCTTCTCCTCTACTGTTAAGAGGGTCTGCAGGAGCTGCTGACAGTCGTCCCAAGTCGGCCTGTGAGTCACTAGGATGGACTCAATTAGGCCGGTCAAGGCAACAGGATCCCTAGAGAAAGGGGGATTATGTTGTTTCCAATTATAGAGGTCTGAGGCTGAAAAGGGCCAGTACTGCAACTGGCGATTCGGCCCCTCTCTGAGCGGGAAGGCCCTGGACTCATTAGGGGGGTCATCCCGGCGGCCGGCAATGGGGGACGGGGCTGCGTCCTCTTCTCCAGCCCCGTGGGTCCTGTGAGTCGAGGTGACTTCCGGATCTGCCACGGGCACGGCCGGGGACGCCGCCACCGGGGCGGCGGCTGGGGCCGCTTTGGCCGGCTCTCCAGGTGGTCCGGCTCGATATGGTGGTGGGTCCTCCGTCAGGAGATCTATAAGGGGGGTATTGGGGTCTGGGGGAAGGACTGGAGGCTTAGGAGTCTCCTTGTGAGGGAGCACGGGGTAAAGGGAGGAGTCCGGGTTGGGGGGCGCAGAAGGCCCAGAGACTGGAGGGGGCTGGGGAAGGAAAGGCTTAACCCATGGAAATGGGTTCTCGACCAGTGATCTCCAGATGGCGATATATGGGACCTGGTCGGGATGCCCATAAGGGCTAGGGGCAAACACCTTACCCTCCACCTGCGAAATAAGAGAGAGGTTAAAAGATCCCTCTCGCGGCCAGCCGACATTCATCATGACCCATTCGGCCTTGCAGAAGGTGATCCATTTCTTCTTCCTGACAATGACACCTTCATTGTTTCCTCGAGCCTTAACATCGGACCAGTGGTCCGTGGTTAGGCTCAGTGGGGTGGCGACAGCCTGTCCCATGATGGTCTCCAAATAAAGAAGGGTTAGACACACAACGAGAAACAAACAGACAAGACAGACCACAGAATTTTTCGCTGCGCGGCTCCGGCGTAAAACCGAAAGCAAAAACTCAGATGGGGACGCGGAGTGTTTGAATTCTCCGTCCCCTGCCAGTACCACGTATCCTTCTGATGCGTGGGTGGCCCCGAAAAACCGTGCCCCAGAGGGGACTTTCCGTGCCCCAGAGGGGACTTTCCGTGCCCCAGAGGGGACTTCCCGTGCCCCAGAGGGGACTTCCCGTGCCCCAGAGGGGACTTCAGATACCCGTGGAACGTCTTCCAGGGTTTCGGTGGGCGAAGTCCGAGCTCGTCAGCTCCTTCAGCCCCCACCAACTCAGACCTGACTTAGGACGTCCGACGAAAACGAAAGACAAATAAACAGACTGAGACAATACAGACAGACAGTGGCCGGCCAGCTTACCTCCTGACAGTGGGTCGGTGGTCCCGAGGCGGGGGTCTCCAATCCCGGACGAGCCCCCAAATGAAAGACCCCCGTCTGGAGTCTTCCCTCTGGAGAGACCCTCGCCCAGAGAGCACACCGAGACCACAAGTCAGATGCAAACAGCAAGAGGCTTTATTCCGGAACACGGGTACCCGGGGCGATACAGTCCCTCCAGAGGCTGAAGAGACTGGCGCGCGCACGGGCTGGAGTGGAGGGTTTTTATAGGGTTGGGCAGCGGAAGGGCGGGTACAGAAGCAGGAAGCATAGTTTACAGGGTTCTGATTGGACGATTCGTATGAGGCCAGGTTCAAACTCAGGACAGCTCGTGGTTTTTCCCCGAGCTCGACACGCCTGCTGACTTGGCTCTCATCCAGGGTACAAGTTGTTTTTCTGACCTCTAGTTACTTTTCAGGCCTTGCTCAAAAATGGCGTTAGGCTAAGCAAGTATGCTGGGGCCCTTCAATCCCAGCACTTGGGAGGCAGGGGCAGGCAGATTTCTTGAGTTCAAGGCCAACCTGGTCTACAGAGCGACAAAGAGAAAAAAAAAAATTTAAGGTATTGATTAAATCACTTTGAAGTAGGTTTAACTTACTTTTGCTTCTTACCAATCCCTTAATTCATGAATAAAAGCCTGTGTAAATAAATTTTTAATTTTTTTTTTTTTTTTCAAGACAGTGTTTCTCTGTGTAGCTTTGTGCCTTTCCTGGATCTCGCTCTGTAGTCTAGGCTGGCCTCGAACTCACAGAGATCCGCCTGCCTCTGCCTCCCGAGTGCTGGGATTAAAGGTGTGCGCCACCACCGCCTGGCTTAAATTTTATAAAATTAAAGGATAAACCTAAAAGGCTGATGGTTAAAATAAAGGGTATCTTTGGTTTTCTTAGGGCTATATTTTGTGATACAGTTTAACTGTTGCATCTCTTATTTTCAGTCATTGTAGTTTGTGCATGAGACTATTGTCAGAAGAGATCTTCAGTAACAGCACAGACACCTGTTACTCTGAAATATTAGGCTGGCTGGGTGTGAGTAGGCAGAGTATCAGGATAAGGCCAGTCTGGGCTGCATGGTACCCTGCCGGTAAAAAAACAAAATACATCGTATCTTAGACTCATTAAGGTTTACCTTGAGTAGACTGCCAGAAAGGAAATATAATTCTGTGTGTAAATATATGTAGGTTGTTTTTAGTGGCCTTGCTTAAATCTTTCTGGAAAAATCTGGTTATTTATTGCCGTGAATTACTTTCATTCTTAATAATATTATCTGTTCCTCCTCTCCCCCTTTGTTTTAGGTCTGTGAAATGAAAAACTGCAATAAATGCATCTACTTTGAAGCTAAAAAAAAGCAGGATCTCTATATGTGGTAAGAGAATGTAATAATGGAGTTGAGTTGTTCCTTGTACATCTTATATAACAGGATCATCCTCTTATGTAAAAGGGAGGAATAGAGTAGACTTGTTTGATTGCAGAGTATTTGAAGCCCCTAAAGAACATTGAATATTAAAGACATGGGCTATCTTACACTGTAGACATGTGCATTTTATACTATAGACATCCTATCTTATACTGTAGATATGCTTTTTATAATCTGCCGGTAGTAGTGAACATTCACTGCATTGTACGTTGTAATCCTTTAAAAGCTTCCTTCATATATTTCAGGCTTTCAAATTCACCTCATGGGCCGTCTGCTAAATTCTTAGTTCAAAATAGTAAGTTTGACTTAACATTTTTTTAATGAAAATTTTAGAAATGTTTGGGGATAATCTTGTCAAAAGTCTTAACTTTGTTTTCATTACATACCCTGGCTGAACTTTAGTTCATACCCTGGCTGAACTGAAGATGACTGGAAACTGCCTGAAAGGTTCTCGCCCCCTTTTGTCTTTTGACCCTGTAAGTTTCTCACTCAGTGCGTGGCATCTAATTTTCCTACTTCTAGTGGTTGATTTTCAGTAGATACAGTTACATATATAATTCTATTTAGTTAAGATAAAAAAGATTTTAAAGAAGGTACTCTGGATTTCAAATAATGTGTTCATATTTTTATTTCTAGGCTTTTGATGAATTGCCACATTATGCTTTGTTAAAAGAACTCTTAATTCAGGTAAATAGCTTTCCTACAAGTATTTTTAGGAATGTGTAATAGATGAATGCTTTCCTCTGAACTTGCTTGTTAACTTAGTCATCCAGAGCATGTACTGTGCCTTGGGATGAAAAACTAACAGACTTCTTTTCTACAAGATCTTTAGTACACCACGGTATCATCCCAAGAGTCAGCCATTTGTGGACCATGTGTTTACATTCACCATTCTGGATAACAGGATATGGTTTCGGAACTTCCAGGTTAGCTTTGCTTTACTTATTATTTGTTTAAATATATTGGGATATGTAGAATTAATGACAATGCAGATGTATAGTTTTTTGCTTTAAATAGCTCCATTTCTCTTCAGATATTTGTGGCGAATGATTGTCTGCTGCCACACACCTGAAATCATCTCTACCTACTTTTTGTTATGGTTGTTGGTTGATATGATATATAACATTTGTAACAAACTACTATACTCATTTAAAAAGGGAAAATAGATTGGAAATCTGTGGGCTGAGTGGCTTCAGCCTTTCCTGAATCCTGTAAGGACTGGTCATTGTTCCTCTCCTGAAGGGTTAGTTAGAATGCAGCAGGTAGAGGGGTAGGATGCTGTTAAGACTTAGGAAAACACAATTGCTATAGTAACAACTTAGGTGAGTCATGGCATGACTCATGCAGGAGAAGTAGGGATGCTCGAAATCTCTAAGCAGGAATTTGACAATAGAAATGTGCAGAAAAATGGAGAAGTGGAGAACAGCGAGAACAAGATTTCATGCAGCAGTGATGGACATGGGGCTCCTGTCTGCATGTTTTATAGAAGAATCTTTACAATGTCAGTTAAATTTGACTTCGGAGAGTAGATCTATTAAGAATGTGAATGTCAGACAAATCCCTGGACTTCCCCAACATGTTCAACATAGTAGGTCCCAGGACAGCCAAGGCTATGTAAAGAGACCCTGTCTCAGCAGATAAACAAAAAGAAGTTAATGTTTGTGAGGCTCAAGATATGAAACAAATTCAGACATCTCAATTTACAAAAACCCTGTGGGATAAAGTTCTGGGTGTGTAAGCATGAAGACATCATGTTTGTAGGTCTGGAGAAGTAGAGACAGGTAGATCCCTAGGGCTTGTTGGCTGGCCAGCCTGGTTTAATGTTTAAGTTCCAGGTACCAGGAGAGGCCATCTCAGAAAGTGGGCTGCTGAGATGGCTCAGCTGGTAAATGCTTGTCACTCAGCCTGGCAGCCTGAGTTTGTTTGGGACACAGGTGGCAGGAGAGAACTGATTCCTGTAAGAAGTGTTATGATTTGCCACTTGCCAAGTTCTCAGCATGTCTTCTTTTCAAGATTATCAATTGTGGTCTTGGGATTCATTTTGTTTGTTTGAGACGGGGTCCCTCTAGCTCTGACTGGCCTGGACGTTAGTATATAGACAGGCGTAGATCCATCTGCCTCTGCCTCAGCCCCCAGTGCTGAGGGTAAAGAGTGCCCTGCTCGGTTTGTCACTTCTTAGAGCATGTTGTGCTGGCGTCTTGGTTAGTTTACCTTTGGCAAGATTATACCCAAACCAGAAGGAATCTTTCTTTCTTTTTTATTGAAGATTATAGAAGAAGACGCTGCTCTAGTGGAAATAGGACCCCGCTTTGTCTTAAATCTCATAAAGATTTTTCAGGGAAGCTTTGGAGGACCAACTCTGTATGAAAATCCCCATTACCAGTCTCCAAACATGGTAAGCTGGGTATTTTGATTGTTTGGTGTGTGGGGTGGGGTTGAGTTTTTTGAGGTTTTTTTTGTTTTTGTAATTAGTGTTTTACCTCCTTTATGACTGAATTTGATTTGCTACACATTTTGCTACGTGCAAATTACTACTTTAAAAAAATGATTCTGGGTGCGGGGACATAAGTGAAGACCTGACTCAAAAGCATGTACTCTGTTGTGTCTAGCATCGGCGTATCGTAAGGTCCATCACAGCTGCAAAGTACAGAGAGAAACAGCAAGTCAAAGATGTTCAGAAACTGCGGAAGAAAGAACCAAAGACTGTTCTTCCACATGACCCCACTGCAGATGTCTTCGATATACCAGCAGAGGACAAGCCAGTAGAAATACAGTGGGTGAAACCAGAGCCTAAAGTAGACCTGACAGCGAGAAAGAGAAGGATTTACAAAAGGCATCGGAAACTGCAGCAGAAGATGAACAGGGGGAGTGCAAAGTGAATCAGTGGATAACTATCTTTTTTAGTTACTGGATATTTATTTTGTATTCCATGTGTAAATACTTTTAGTTCAAGAACTAGCTATGTCTAATTAAGGTACCATTTTAAAAAATTAAAATCTTAAAGGCAATGTTGGTCTTTTTCTAAATAAAGCATCTCCAGAATGCACCAGCTACTTTGTATTCTTTTCAGAGCCCATTTAGTATTACTGAATATTTAGCACACTTACAGCTTAGGCCTGCCCTCTTTGGTTTGAATTTTAGTTTGGTCAACCTGAAGTTCAATCAGATTTATTGGTTTCTGATTACTTATAAAGGTGTTAGGCACTTTGAGAGCAGAGTTTGGGGGGTGTGGGGTGAGGTCATTTTACTGAGGTTTCACTGCTGAAGTCACTAGTTCATGAAGCCTTGGGAAGCCAACTTCTGATCATTTCTTTATCTCAATGAAGAGTGCATTTGATTCTTAGGTGTTGAAAACGTGCTAATACCTGTCTGTAAGCGTTTTTTTAAATTTCACATTTATCTTAGAAGCAATTACTATAATTAGATGTAGTAAAAGGAAAAATAGGAGAGTTAGGATATAAGAAAATTGTAGGATTTTCCTCCTGTGAAAACTACTTGGAGTGTAGGAGACAATTTCAGCTTCTAGGGAGCAGTAAGTAGCAATAGTGAAAGCAGCAACTTGATCCTCCAGTGATACGGGGATAGGTGGCTGAGGAGATGCACAGATGTTTTATATATATTTTACATACATACACATGTATATATGTTACCATACATACATATATATATATATATATATATATGTATATGTTAGAACTGTATCCGATGGTTTTGTCACCCTTTTTCACTTAATGTTGGGTGTTTCCCCACATCTGCAGCATGTTTACTCCCTGCACAGCATTTCTATCATAGCTCTATTAGCATCATGTGCTTTATCCCTTCAAAGATAGTTCAGTTTTCTTTTTGTCTTTCTATTGTGATGTCTGTGGTTAATATTTCTATACAGAAACCTCTGTACAACACTCATGGTTAATACTGCTCAAAGTTTTAAACAAGGCTTTCTGATATTTTTGTAAGGTCCAAAAATTGTACTTTGCCAGACATTAGAACATTCATATCCTTGTGCAGCTTGCCAGTTAGAATACCAACTGCAAAAGGATTTTGTGTGTGTGTGTGGGGGGGGGGGGGGCATGCTGAACTAACTTTGTTTTTCTGTGGTAGGGTTGTTTTTCACTTATATCTAGACATTTTATGTAGTTACTTGTTCTAGATATAATTCCTAGTTTAGTTTTTGATTATTTTTTTCTGTCCTTTGGCTGTTGTTGCTGTGATAAACATCCTGACCAAAAGCAGCTTGGGGAGTAAGTGATTTATCTTAACTTTGAGGTTCATCACAGGAACATTAGGGCAGGGACTGCGGCCTGAATCTGGAGGCAGGAACTGAAGCAGAGACTCAGTAGGAACACAAGATTACTGGCTTGCTCAGCTTTTTTGCTTTTAACCTACCACCTGTCTAGAGATGGCACCGCCCCTACAGACATGCCCACAGGCAAATGTGAAAGAAGTACTCCTGCAATTGTGGTTCCCTCCTCCCAAGAGACTAGTTTGTCAAGTTGACAAAATCAGCACAAAGTTACTTAAGACCTGAGTGTAAGGGGCTGGAGAGATGGTTTGGGGTTAAGAGCATCGGTTGAGTTTTCAGAAGACCTGGGTTCAGTTGAGAGGTGTTTTTAATTGTGCCACTTTTCTTGAAATAGTTTAAGACTATTTGAAGTCAATTAAGTGATGTGATTCAGGTCAGAGGTTTGTTCACCTGAAGTACTTGTCTGGCCAGTTTCTCATGGCCATAGCTGGTAAAATACAGGAGACAAAGGAGAATTGGTTGGTTCCACAGTTAAGTATTGCCTTGAATGAAAATGAGACTAGGGTGTTAACATCTCAGGGAGAGTTCATTAGAGAATATTTGTTATGAACACATTACATATAAAAAGTTGCCAGTTTTGAAAGACGTGAATTAATACTTTAGATATTCAATTGTGAAGGTTTGGTAGAATTTCCCATTTCACAATTACCCTCTTGTGATTTTTTTTTCTCTTCATTTTTCCAGTTATAATTTCAAATGAACAGTTAACTTGTAGAGGTTTTTATTCCTCAAATCCCTTTCACCCACAGGTAGCTTATATAAAATCAACGTGTTTAATAAGAGTGCTCTTGGGACAGAATACAGTGTTCGTGTCTGTAATCCTAGCTCCTCAGGGGCTGACACTACAGACCTGCAAGTTCAAGATCAATTGGGACTATGCAGTCAGCCACCACCAACCAACCAAAGAGGACTGACCGAAATAACATCCAACTGAACCAACTTTACAGTCAATCAGTTGTCATGGGCCAAAATAAATGGCTTCCCTCCTCAAAGCAGCAAGTGACTTGCAGTTTACAACCACACACGGCTGAAGGGAGGAAAAGTGTATCTCTCCCCAACCCCCCATACTCCCCATTCCTAATTGATTCTCAGGAGAAGAAGAAAGGTCTGAGGTTTCTTGCAAACTCGAACTTTTCCAGCCCTACTCATTACCAATTTAACAAATGACTGAAAAAATAGGTAAGTCTTCACTTCTGAGTAGTAGTGACTTAGACATCTAATATATAGAGAAAATGAGTTGGGCTTTGTGAATGTGTTGGGGGTGGGATATTAACAAAGGGACTATATCCCCGATCTGCTTGGTTGCTTCAACCCTGCACAAAAGATGTTCACAAGGAATATCTTTTGCAGCCATATATTGTTAGATGGAACCCACAGCTATCTGATATATGTAAATATTCCATCTTAAAGCAAAATTATTAATGTATTTTTATGGGCATTAGGATACTGTTTTGACAGTCAGTTGATTAGAGTAGGTGCACAGATCTCTCATCACACAGTACAGAGTAATTAATAAAGCTACTCAGACCCCCCAAATCTGCAGGCTAAGTACCATCCCATGACTATTCTCAATCTAATCCTGGAAAGGTAGTAGACTAAAAGAAAATTAGAATTCAAGAGTGATGCAGGGTACTCAGATTTCTCTTAGGGCATATAAATATTTTACTTTTTATTAAATATTTCCACGCAGAGGAACAGGTTTGAGGGGGGCGGGTGAAGAAGACATCTTTTTATTTAAACAAAAGGTTGGTCTTGAACTCATGACAATCCTGCCTCAGCCTCCCAAATGCTGTGATTTACAGGCATGAACTACAGTCCTCAGCCAGCCAAATTAGTCTTCCAGAGTTTGCAAACAAAAGCACACATGAGGGGCTGGAGAGATGGCTCAGAGGTTAAGAGCACTGGCTGTTCTTCCAGAGGTCCTGAGTTCAATTCCCAGCAACCACATGGTGGCTCACAACCATCTGTAATGAGATCTGGCTCCCTCTTCTGGCCTGAAGGGATATATGCAAGCAGAACACTGTATACATAATAAATAAATTAATTTAAAAAAAAAAAAAAGCACACATGAAGGGAGGAAAAAATGTGTTATCCCCTTCCACAATCAAGGAAAGGTCCCAGGAGAGGAAATGCCCTATAAACATCCATTTTTCTTTATTCCTTTTCCTTCCTTCCTTCCTTCCTTCCTTCCTTCCTTCCTTCCTTCCTTCCTTCCTTCCCTCCTTCCCTCTCTCCTTCCCTCCCTCCTTCCTTCCTTCCTTTCTTTTTCCCTGTCTCTGTCTCTCTTTCTCTTGGCCTTGTTTTAGCAAGGCTGCGTGTTGTTTAAAATAAGGCATTTCACGACACTGATTTCCATGACTCATTCGTAGGAAGAGTACTTGCTGTCATGTGGACATTTTCTGTTTAATATATATGTAAATGAACTAGTCTGGTGGTAGAGGCCAATAAGCCCAGCATTTGGGAGGCAGGATCCTAAATTTAACTCTTTATGTAAACCAAGCTCGCCTTGAACTCACTAAATACTCTTAACTGCCATCTGCCTCCTGGGGGAAGCTGGGATTAAAGGTGTGTTCTTAATACCCGGCCCTCAGCCTGGCTTTTGGTATGCTACCTTAAAGTACATGGATACTGTCAGGCGGTGGTGACACACTCCTTTAATCCCAGCACTCGAGAGGCAGAGGCAGGCAGAGCTCTATGAGGTCAAGGCCAGTCTGATCTACAGCGCGAATTCCAGGACAGCCAAGGCTACACAGCGAAACCCTGTCTCGAAAAAACAAGACAAGGCGGGTCGGTGGTGTCGCACGCCTTTAATCCCAGCACTCGGGAGGCAGAGCCAGGTGGATCTCTGAATTCGAGGCCAGCCTGGGCTACAGAGTGAGTTCCAGGATAGGCTCCAAAGCTACACAGAGAAACCCTGTCTTGAAAAACAAAAAACAAAAAAAAGAAAGAAAAAAGAAAAAAAAGACAAAACAAAATGTTGATACTTGCCTCTTAAATTGTTTCAAAAACTGATTTAAGCAATCCTCTTATTTACTGTCCTTTATCATGCATATTGGTCAAGATGAGTCAAAAGAGATCCTAGTAAGTGGAAGCTGAGATACTAAACACTCGTGTTTCGACCAAGAACTTCGGGCTGAAACTCCGCACGGGACTACTTGAAGCCGGAGTTGCCTCCTCTGTGAAGTTTCCTCCGCTGAGAAATAATCTAACTCCCCATGCCAAGCCTCCCCGGGCCCTCCACTCAGGCCGGCTAGGAGGTGCCACCCAAACAGCCCACTGTGCTCACAATGCCTCTCGTCGTGGCTCCCCCGCCCACCTTCCCCCCCCCCCCCCAGCCGAGGCTCCGCCTCCGCGGCGCGCGGCTGGCCCGGAACCCAGCCCAGACCCCGCCCATGCGGAGCCGCCGGCGCCGCCCCCTCCGCGCGCCCGCGTGCCGCAGCCCGCGACGTCCGCCGCCGCGCGCCTCCGCCGCCCCGCGCCGCTGCCGCCGCCGCCGCCGGGCTCGCTGGCTGGCCGGCTGCTGGCGCCGGGCTCCCGCCGGAGGAGAGGACAACCAGCGCCGCCCCCGCCGCTTCGGCCCGGGCCCGGGCGTCGGCCCCGTCCCGGGCCCCGGCCCCGGCCCCGGCCCCGGCTCGGGCCCCGTTCCCGGCCCCGCGTCCAGCCCCGCCATGAAGTGTCACTACGAGGCGCTGGGGGTGCGGCGCGACGCCAGCGAGGAGGAGCTCAAGAAGGCCTATCGGAAG